GAGGGAGAGGTAGTGGCAGGGAGAGGAAATGGTGAGGGCAGGGAGAGGAGATGGTAGTGCAGGGGGGGAGAAGGAGTGGAGGGCAGGGAGAGGGGAGATGGTAGTGGCAGGGGGAGAAGAGGGGTAGTGGCAGGAGAGGAGAGGGTAGTGGCAGGAGAGGAGAGGGTAGTGGCAGGGAGAGGGAGATGGTAGGGCAGGGGAGAAGAGGAGTGGAGTGGCAGGAGAGGAGATGGTAGTGGCAGGGAGAGGGAGATGGTAGTGGCAGGGGAGAAGAGGGTAGTGGCAGGAGAGAGAGGGCAGGGGAGAGGAGATGGTAGTGGCAGGGAGAGGAGATGGGGTAGGAGAGGAGAGGGTAGTGGCAGGGGAGAGGAGATGGTAGTGGCAGGGAGAGGAGGGTAGGCAGGGGGAGAAGAGGGGTAGTGGCAGAGGAGAAGAGGGAGTAGGGAGAGGAGATGGGAGGCAGGAGAGAAGAGTGGTAATGCCAGGAGGAGAGAAGTCTTGGAGGTAAGATGGAAAACACACACACACACACACACACACACACACACACAAACACACACACACACACACACGACTGTAAGTACCCTTTGCTGCTACACATTCAGGTGAGTCAAATTTCGCATTGTACAACAAGTTCTTTACACACCGCCCACCATGAATACATTATTCTCTCTCTCTCCCTCTCTCTCTCTCACGTCATAGCTCTAATCTCAAGCTTACAGTTCTCACCAAACCTTGAACGTGAGTCTTGAAACATGTATGTGTGTGTGTGTGTGTGTAACTTTTCTGCACATTTTTATTTATATTTTCTTAAGGTAAACTTTTGTTAATATTTATCAACATTTTTTTTTTATAATTTTAGCGAGTATTTATTTTTTTAGTTATCATTTATAAAATCATCAGTCATCCAGTACAGTTAACAGTCATCCAATAGTCATCAGTCATTCAGTAGTCACCAGTCTCATGGCCGTTGTTATGGCATGGCCGTCGTTGTCATGGCATGGCCGTCGTTGACTTCAAATCAGTCAACAGTTTAAAGGTCAATTTATCATCAGACAAGACAGACCGACTGTCGACCTAACTATCAGTCACTAACAATCACTTTTTAGCACAAACATCAAGACTGACTGTCAGCCTAAATACAGTCGAGTGTTTAGTGATCGTCAGTCTGTTCGTACAGTCTGACAGTCGAGTGTTCAGCATTGCAGAAAAAATTGACCTTTGCCCCCACTACCATCACCAACCACCACTACCTAACACCTCCATCACCACCTACCACCTACCACCACCATCATCTACCACCACCATCACCACTACCTACCACCTTCATCACCCACCACCACCTACCACCATCACTCACCCACCACCATCGATCTACCAAAACCACTACCTACCACCACCATCACCACCTACCACCATCATCTACCACTACCACCACCATCACCACCTACCACCATCATCTACCACTACCACCACCTACCAACCAATACCAACTTCACAACACAACTTCGGAAACTCTCAGTCGTCTTTAACTTCCAGGCATCACCGTTGATCTCCTATGTGTGTGTCTCCCATGGCCGATGTCTCCCACCGTCTAGCAATTATCTTAAGTCTCTAACACCCAAGCTTAAGTCTCCAACACTCCAGCTTAACCCCAACATCTGCTTAGTCTCCAACATTCAAGCTTAGTCTCCAACACTCAAGCTGAGTCTCCAACACTCAAGCTGAGTCTCCAATCAAGAGCAGCTCACATTCAAGCTTAGTTTCCAAGATTCAAGCTTTGTCTCCAACATTCAAGATTAAGTCTCTAACACTCAAACTTAGTCTCTAACACTCAAGCTTAATTCTCGAACATTCAAGCGTAGTCTCCAACATTCAAGCTTAGTCTCCAACATTCAAGCTAAGTCTCCAACACTCAAGTTTAGTCTCCAACACTCAAGCTTAAGTCTACAACACTCAAGCTTCAGCCTCCACCAACCCATCCACCCCTCATCACTTAATCCTCCCAAAACGAAATCCCAAATTCTTTCCCTATAATCCCTTCCAATCTCTCCCCAACTCCCAATCCTCCCTCAATCCCCTCCCCAATCCTTTCCAACTCATCCTCCCAATCCCTCCTCAATCCCTCCCAATCCTCCCCAACCTCCCAACCTTCCCCAATCCTCCAATCCTCCTGATCCTTCCCAATCCTCCCCAATCCCTCACCAATCCTCCCAACTCCCTCAACCCTAACCCCAAATCGCCCCCATTTGAATTCCCAAACTCACTGCCCAATATATGAGAGAGAGAGAGAGAGAGAGAGAGAGAGAGAGAGGAGAGAGAGAGAGAGAGAGAGAGAGAGAGGGTGGTAAGCTTAGCATAAAGAGGTGATTGATCAGGGCAGGGAAGGTGGAGAAGCTGCCGGAGAAGAGAGGTCAACTTTAATTCACTCTTGCCATTGTTCACCCCCCACCACTACTACTACTAATACCACTACAACTACCACCCACTACTACCACAACCACCACCCACTAATACTATTACTACTACAACTACACCACTACTACCACAACCATAACTACCACAACCACAACCCTACTACTATTATTACACCACAACTACTACCACTACCACAACCTAACTACTACCCTTACTACTATTACTACTACAACTACACCCTACTACAACTAACTCTTTACACCCACTAATACTTACTACTACTACATCTCTTTCATTCTTCTACACCACCACTATTATTACTACTACATACAACTACCCACTACTACAATATACTACCACTACTACTATTACACTACTAGCCTAACACAACCAACTACTACAACCCACCCTACTACTACCCACCACCCTACAACCACTACCCTGTGACTTTACCTACCACCCTACTACCACAACAATAACTTCTGCCACACAACCATAGCTACCATACACTTTTTATTACTATCTACCACAACTACCACCCCAATACTACTATTACTACTACCACCAACCACCCATTATTATTGCTACAACCACAACTACCACCTACTACCACAATATATTCTACCATATTATTACTACAACTACCCTGCCTGACACAACCACCACCCTGCTACAACCACACCACCACTACTACCACAACCACCACCCACTATCCTATTAATACTACTACTACATTTACTCTTCTTACTACTTCAATAACTCTACCACTACTACCACAACAATAATACTACCATAACTACACACTTACTTCAGCTACCACCATCCACACCAAGCTAAATACTTTTGGCATTTACTACCCTATTTATATTGGCAGATATCCGTAAAACTCTACGGTGATCCATACCCACATTTGACTAACTCGTGACCCATTATTCACTCTCATCCACCTTTATCCACTTTCATCGACCCTCATCCACCATCATCCACTTTCATCCACCTTTAACTACTTTCATCGACCTTCATCCACTTTCATCCATTCTCATCCACCTTAATTCACTCATTCATTTTTAGAATAGATTAGGTTAGATTAAGTTAGGTTAGGTTAGGTTAGGTTAGGTTAGGTTAGGTTAGGTTAGGTTAGGTTAGGTTAGGTTAGGTTAGTTAGTTAGGTTGGTCAGGTCAGGTCAGGTCAGGTTAAGTTGAATTAAATACTGTTTTGTATAAGACTTCATGTTAGGTTAATGTCAGGTCAGGTCAAATAAGTTGATTCGGTTAGAGTTAGGAAGTAATAATCAATGTTTTGTATAAGACTTCATGTTGGGTCAGGTCAGGTCAGGTCAGGTCAGGTAAGGTCAGGTCAGGTTAAGTTGGGAAGTAATAAATCTGTTTTTGTAGACTTATGTTAGGTTAATGTCAGGTCAGGTCAAATAAGGTTGGGTCAGGTTAAGTTAAAGTAATAATAATGTTTTTATAAGACTTCATGTTAGGTCAGGTCGTCAGGTCAGGTCAGGTAAGTCGGCAGGTTAAGTTAGGAAGTAATAATCAATGTTTTGTATAAGACTTCATGTTACCATCACAACTCTGTCCTTCGGTTTGTACTTTGTTAGTGGTGAGAATCTGTGCCCATTATCTGGTTTTCAATAGAACGAGCAGACTGATTAGCACGTTAATGAGATGGACCGTGACAATGGAGACGGAGGAATGTGGGGGAGGAGGGTGAGGAGGGTGTGGGGAGGTGGGGAGATGGGGGCCGGTGGGGGAGGTAGGGGCCGGTGGAGGAGGGTGGGGCCGTGGAGGAGGAGGGAGGAGGCCGGTGGGGAGGAGGGTCGGTGGGGAGGGTAGTGGAGTGTGTGGGGCGGGTAGGGCCGGTGGGGAGGTAGGGAGTTTGGGGTCGGTAGGGAGGTGGGAGGAGGTGGGGTGACGGGTCCCACTGAATACACCTGCTGCCAGTGCTCGTTCCCGTGAAATTACCTCTTCAACCTCCACCTGTTTTTGCTTTATACTTTTCTCGGTGGATAATATTTACCTAAGTTCTGCTGAGGTATTTCCTGCCGTGACAAAGACCTTATTAACGTCACGTATCAAGGTGTTACCAGGTGTTACATGGGCGTAGTGTAGGTATGTGAGGTGTATACGAGGGCGTGAAATTATCTGAAGGTGTATGTGGGTCACTAGAGTAGAGGAGAGAGAGAGAGAGAGAGAGGAGTGTTTGTCAAAAAGCAGCGTACACACACACACACACACACACAAAACACATGGTTGTCATGGTTACAAGTTCTCAGATTCGTTCAATAAATATTCGTCCCGTCTGAAGACTGGCGCAATAAAATCTTCAATAAGTGTGGCACCTGAGTATCGAGAGACGAAGATGGCGACAATCTTTACCCGAGACTCGATCGTAACAACAACAACAACAATAATAATGCTAATGATAATGATAATGATAATAATAATAATAAATAAATACATAATAATAAACCTACAGGAGACGACGAAGGGAAAGGACACAACATTTTAGAAAACCCTGAAGGGGAGGGGAAGGTAATTCACCCTGAAGGGGCAGGAGGAGGCAAGGTACTCACCATGAACACGAAGGACGCCCCGCCACCGCCACCGCCTCCCCCAGAAGAGTTCATCCAGACGCCGTGACGAAGCATATCCATTTTGGTAATCTTCTCCAGCGTTGAGACGTCAGGCGGAAGTCTCCTGGAGGTGCATATATCCAGGTGCTCCCGCGTCTGTTGAGAGAGAGTGGAGGAGTGAGGTCTTGTGTGTGTGTGTGTGTGTGGTGGAGTGAGTGGGAGTGTCTTGTGTGTGTGTGTGTGTGTGTGGGAGGAGGAGATGGAGGGAGGAGGAGTGAGTGTCTGTGTGTGGTGGGGGGAGGAGTGAGGAGTGGAGGGAGGAGGGAGTGAGTGTTGTGTGTGTGAGGAGAGGAGATGAGGAGGAGGAGTGAGTGAGTGTCTTGTGTGTGTGTGTGAGAGAGGAGGGAGATGAGGGAGTGAGTGAGTGAGTGAGGTGTCTTGTGTGTGTGTGAGAGGAGGAGTGAGTGAGTGTCTTGTGTGTGTGTGTGAGAGAGTGAGGGTGAGTGTCTTGTGTGTGTGTGTGAGAGAGTGAGTGAGTGAGTGTCTTGTGTGTGTGTGTGAGTGGAGTGAGGAGGAGTGAGTGAGTGGAGTGTCGTGTGTGTGTGTGTGTGAGGTGAGGAGGAGGAGTGAGTGAGTGAGGGAGTGGAGGTCTTGTGTGTGTGTGAGAGTGAGTGAGTGGAGGAGTGAGTGAGTGAGTGAGTGAGTGAGTGTCTTGTGTGTGTGTGTGTGTGTGTGTGTGTGTGTGTGTGTGTGGGGAGTGGAGGGAGGAGTGAGTGAGTGGTGTCTTGTGTGTGTGGGAGTGAGTGAGGAGGGGTGAGTGTCTTGTGTGTGTGTGTGTGTGTGTGTGTGTGTGTGTGTGTGGAGTGAGTGGAGTGAGGAGGAGTGTCTTGTGTGTGTGTGTGTGTGTGTGTGTGTGTGTGAGAGTGAGTGAGTGAGTGAGTGAGTGAATTATTCAATATACACAAAAAGTTAAAAAAAGTATTTGAGTAATAATATTCAGTAATTAATCCCAGAGTTAATTATATGTAACTCAGGTCAAGTTAATTAACACCTGGTAGTAATATGAAAAACTAATTACTGAACACTGTTGTAAATTGCTCCGGGTTAATTCCTGACGGTGAAAGAAAAGGTGTGATTTATTAGAGATTGTAATTCGGCCACCCTGGCGGAGTGTTGAACCGTGTTGTGAGGTCAACTCCTGTCCGTGAAGTGGGGCTAGATTTCCTGTCCGTGAAGTGGGTCAAACTCTCCCGTCCGTGAAGTGGGGTCAGATTCTCCCGTCCGTGAAGTGAGGTCAAACTCTCCCCTGTCCGTGAAGTGAGGTCAACTCTCCCCGTCCGTGAAGTGGGTCAGATTCTCCCGTCCGTGAAGTGAGGTCAGATTCTCCCGTCCGTGAAGTGGAGTCAAACTCTCCCGTCCGTGAAGTGAGGTCAAATTCTCTCCGTCCGTGAAGTGAGGTCAGATTCTCCTGTCCGTGAAGTGAGGTCAGATTCTCCCCGTCCGTGAAGTGGGGTCAAACTCTCCCCGTCCGTGAAGTGAGGTCAGATTCTCCCCGTCCGTGAAGTGAGGTCAGATTCTCCCCACGGACGGCTGACGTAGGGACACTTCTCGTTGCTTCACAGATATTGATGCACAAAGTTATGTCATTAGTAAAGCAGTAGAGTTTCCCATCACCACTCCCTCTCATCCCACCCTCACCCCTCTCATCCCCCCCTCATCCATAAGGTCGAAGCCCAGGATCAATAGAGAAAGATTTATCGATGTGTTTAGAGTGAATTGCGACAGCGATACCTTGAAACAGTGCTGCCGTCATCTACATACACCATTGACCGACTCCTCAAAGCTGACCATTTTTTTACCCAGGTTCATTCACAATGCCTGAAGAGTCGGAACCTTCAGCCCTGATTGCCCGGAAGCCATAAGAGACGATCCTCCACTGATTGGGTGGTATCAGTAACGAATTCGGATATTGACCTCTCCCACCCCTCCTCCTGGTCCCTCCTCCACCTAGTCCCTCCTCCACCTAGTCCCCCCTCCACCTGGTCACCCCTCTACATGATTCCCCTGGCACCTCCTTCTGGCACCCCTACACCAGCCCCCTGGCCCCCCCCATTCTATTAACTCCGTGCATTTTTCTCTTACCATTATCTGTCTATGTTGAGCTCAGTGGGTCGTGTTGTGGTAAATTTCTTCTTTTTTGTCGTATGTTAACCGATGGCCTTGTAGAATGAACACACACACACACAGACAGACAGACAGACAGACAGACAGAGACAGACAGACACACCACACTCAGTAACATGTTTCCGGTCTGTTTTTTTCCTCCAGCAGCTGACACAACTCTATATATATATATATATATATATATATATATATATATATATATATATATATATATATATATATATATATATATATATATATATATATATATATATGAGTATATACCGTGTGGTTCTCTCCTAAGCCTTGGACCTCTCTCTCTCTCTCTCTCTCTCTCATTTTCCTTTCATCATTTACTGTAATTCACGTCGTGTATGAGCTGTGATCCTGTAACAACCTGTGTGTAGGTCGCCGAGACACATGTAGGTCGTTGTGACACATGTGGGTCGCCGCAGGACACATGTAGGTCGTCAGAGACACATGTAGGTCGCCGTAGGGACACATTGCTGGCGAGTACAAGTTGTGAGTGAATATTGCTTCAGATGTTTCAGTCTTGTTCCCCAGCGGCTGTTTGGGTTGTATAGATGACAGAGTTGAAGTCAGGAGTTCCGTTTTGTTGATGGTGGTGATGTCAGGTGGTGTTGATGTCAGCTTGTCAGAAAGCTTCTCCGTCAGCTGTTTGAAGCGGCTGTTGTCTACGCTAATACTTGTCTGAAGTTTCATCGATATTTTGGAGCTTCTTAACCCTCAGACGATGACCGGGTGTCTTTGACGATGATGATGATGATGATGATGATAATGGTAGTGATGATAATGGTAGTGATGATAATGGTAGTGATGATAATGGTAGTGATGATAATGGTAGTGATGATAATGGTAGTGATGATAATGGTAGTGATGATAATGGTAGTGATGATAATGGTAGTGATGATAATGGTAGTGATGATAATGGTAGTGATGATAATGGTGATGATGATAAATGGTAGTGATGATAATGGTAGTGATGATAAGGTGGATTAATGGTAGTGATGATGATGATGATGATAATGGTTGTGATGATAGGTGATGATAATTAGTGATGATATAGTTTGATGATAATGGTGTGATGATAATGGTTGTTGATGATTGATTGTAGATGATGATTAATGGTAGTGATGATTGGTGTGATAATGTGTTGTTATTTGATGGTGTTGTTTGATGATAAATTGGTGGTGATGATAATGGTGGTGATGATGATTGATGATTTATTGATGATAATGGTAGTTTGATGATGTTGTGTTGATGATGGTAGTGATGATAATGTATGATGATAATTGTTATTGATGATGTAGTGATGATAATGGTATGATGATAATTGTAGTGATGATAAGAGTGATGATAATGGTATGATGAGTTGATGACATGTTGTCGGTGAATGTTATAGTTGACACACGACCTACTGACCTGTGTCGGGGCATTCTTGCAGGCAGACATTCTGCCCACTAGATGTACAGCTCGGTGTTGGCGGTGAGGTAGAAGGTTCCTCTGGATATGGCCCCGTGGGTGGTCATGTCCTGTGTCTGCACGCCCCCGCCGCCACTAGCGCCCTTGGCCAAGATCCTGCAGGAGAAGACCACCATTTTGTTTTGACATGTTACTATACAGAAACGTAACCTAACCCTAACCCTAGTCAACCTACCTTAAGTGTTACATATGGGTTGGGTTGGGTTGGGTTGGGTGCTCGAGGGTGTGTGTGTGTGTTACGTGGTCATGGCATCACACATGGTAGGTGAGGTCAGGTGAGGTCAGGTGAGGCCAGGTATTGGTAGGTGAAACTAGGCTATTATTCTTCCTCTATACATCACCCTTAAATAATAATTGCTCTCTCTCTCCTGTCTTTTGCTGCTACAGATTCACTCCCACTCTATTTCCTTTCCTTTCATCCTCACTTTTTCTTCCTCCTTTAATCTCTCTCTCCTTTCATCTTTTCCTCCCTCCTGTTTCTGTTCCTGCTCCACTATCGCTTTCCTCTCTCTCTCCCTCTCTCCTGTTCTACTATCGCTTCCCTCTTCCTCCTGTGTCTCTTTCTGTTCTCTCTTTCTCTTCCTCCCCTCTCTCTTCTTTTTTGTTTCTCTCGCACTCTCCTTTCTTCTCTTTCTCCCCCTTACTATCTTTCTCCCCTCCTCCTCTCTCTCTTCCTCCCTCCCTCCTCGCCCTTGTTCCACCCCTTCCCTCTCTTACCTCCTTCTCTCTTACCTCCCTTCCCTCTCCCTCTTTTACCCTTCCCTCTCTTCCTCCCTTCCCCTCTCTTCCCTCTCTTCCTCCTTCCCTCTCTTACCTCCCTTCCCCTTACCTTCCTTCCTCTCTCTTACCTCCCTTCCCTCTCTTTTACTCCCCTCTCTTACCTCTGCCTCCCTTCCCTCTCTCCCCTTCCCTCTCTTACCTTCCTTCCTCTCTTACCTCCCTTCCCTCTATTACCTTCCTTCCCTCTCTTACCTCCTTCCCTCTCTTACTCCCTTCCCTCTTACCTCCTTCCCTCTCTTCCTCTCTTACCTCCCTTCCCTCTCTTACCTCTCTTACCTCCTTCCCTCTCTTCCTCCTTCCTCTTACCTCCTTCCTCTCTTACCTTCCTTCCCTCTCTTACCTCCTTCCTCTCTTACCTCCTTCCCTCTCTTCCTTCCTTCCCTCTCTTACCTCTCCCTCCTTACCTTCTTCCTCTCTTACCTCCCTTCCCTCTACCTTCCTTCCCTCTCTTCCTTCCCTCTCTTACCTCCCTTCCCTCTCTTACCTTCCTTCCCTCTCTTACCTCCCTTCCCTCTCTTACCTCCCTTCCCTCTCTTACCTCCCTTCCTCTCTTACCTCCCTTCCCTCTCTTACCTCCTTCCCTCTCTTACCTCCTTCCCTCTCTTACTTCCTTCCCTCTCTTCCTCCTTCCCCTCTCTTACCTCCTTCCTCTCTTACCTCCTTCCCCTCTCTTACCCTCCTTCCCTCTCTTTCTCCTTCCTCTCTTACCTCCTTCCCTCTCTTACCTTCCTTCCCTCTCTTACCTCCTTCCTCTCTTACCTCCCTTCCCTCTCTTACCTCCCTTCCTCTCTTACCTTCCTTCCCTCTCTTACCTTCCCTCCTTACCTTCCTTCCCCTCTCTTACCTCCTTCCCTCTCTTCCTTCCCTCTCTTCTCCTTCCTCTCCCTCTCCCACCTCCCTTCCCTCTCTTACCTCCTTCCCTCTCTTACCTCCCTTCTCTCTTACCTCTCTTACCTCCCTTCCCTCTCTTACCTCCTTCCTCTCTTACCTCCCTTCCCTCTCTTCCTTCCCCTCTCTTTACCTCCCTTCCTCTCTTACCTCCCTTCCCTCTCTTACCTTCCCTTCCCTCTCTTACCTCTCTTCTCCCTTCCCTCTCTCCACCTCCTTCCCTCTCTTACCTCCTTCCCTCTTCCTCTCTTACCTCCCTTCCCTCTCTTACCTCCTTCCCTCTCTTACCTCCCTTCCCTCTCTTACCTTCCTTCCTCCTCTTCTCCCCTTCCCTCTCTTACCTCCTTCCCTCTCTTCCTTCCCTCTCTTCTTCCCTCCCCTTACCTTCCTTACCTCTCTTCCTTCCTTCCTCTCTTACCTCCTTCCTCTCTTACCTTCCTTCCCTCTCTTACCTCCTTCCTCTCTTCCTTCCCTCTCTTACCTCCCTTCCCTCTCTTCCTCCCTTCCCTCTCTTACCTCCTTCCCCTCTCCCTTCCCTCTCTTACCTCCCTTCCCTCTCTTACCTTCCTTCCCTCTCTTACCTCTCCTTCCTCTTACCTCCTTCCCTCTCTTACCTTCCTTCCCTCTCTCTTACCTCCCTTCCCTCCTTACCTTCCTTCCCTCTCTTACCTTCCTTCCTCTCTTACCTTCCTTCCCTCTCTTACCTTCCTTCCTCTCTTACCTCCCTTCCCTCTCTTACCTTCCTTCCCTCTCTTACCTCCTTCCCTCTCTTACCTCTCCTTACCTCCCTTCCCTCTTACCTCCCTTCCCTCTCTTACCTCCCTTCCCTCTCTTGCCTCTCTTCCTCCTTCCCTCTCTTACCTCCTTCCTCTCTTACCTCCTTCCTCTTACCTTCCTTCCCTCTCTTACCTCCTTCCCTCTCTTACCTCCTTCCTCTTCCTTCCTTCCCTCTCTTACCTCTCTTACCTCCTTCCCTCTTCCTCCTTCCCTCTCTTCCTCCCTTCCTCTCTTACCTCTCTTCCTCCTTCCTCTCTTACCTCCTTCCCTCTCTTACCTCCTTCCTCTCTTACCTTCCTTCCCTCTCTTCCCTCCTTCCCCTCTCTTACCTTCCTTCCCTCTCTTACCTTCCTTCTCTCTTACCTCCTTCCCTCTCCTTCCTTCCCTCTCTTACCTCCTTCCTCTCTTACCTTCCCCTCTCTTACCTCCCTTCCCTCTCTTACCTTCCTCCTCTCTTACCTTCCTTCCCTCTCTTGCCTCCCACCCCCTCCTTCCCCTCCCTTCCCCTCTCCCCCTTCCCTCTCTTCCTTCCTTCCCCTCTTACCTTCCCTCTCTTACCTCTTCTTACCTTCCTCCCTCTCTTACCTTCCTTCCCTCTCTTACCTTCCTTCCCTCTCTTCCTTCCTTCCCTCTCTTACCTTCCTTCCCTCTCTTACCTCCCCCTTCCTCCTTCCCTCTCTTACCTTCCTTCCTCTCTTACCTTCCTTCCCTCTCTTACCTTCCTTCCCCTCTCTTACCTCTCTTACCTCCTTCCCTCTCTTACTTCCCTTCCCCTCCTCCTCCTTCCCTCCCTTCCCTCTCTCTCCTTCCCTCTCTTCCCTCCTTCCCTCTCTTACCTCCCTTCCTCTTACCTTCTTCCCCTCTCTTACCTCCCTTCCTCTCTACCTCCTTCCCTCTCTTACCTCCCTTCCTCTCTTCGTCCTTCCTCTCTTACCTCCTTCCCTCTCTACCTCCTTCCTCTCCCCTTCCTTCCCCTCTCTTGCCTCCTTCCTCTCCTCCTTCCCTCTCTTACCTCCCTTCCTCTCTTACCTTCCTTCCCTCTCTTACCTCCTTCCCTCTCTTACCTCCTTCTCTCTTCCTCTCTTACCTCCCTTCCCTCTCTTACTTCCCTTCCCTCTCTTCCCTCCCTTCCCTCTCTTACCTTCCTTCCCTCCTTCCCTCCCTTCCCTCTCTTACCTTTCCCCCTTCCCTCTCTTACCTTCCTTCCTCTCTTATCCTTCCTCTCTTACCTCCCTTCCCTCTCTTTACCTTCCTTCCCTCTCTTACCTTCCCCTCTCTTACCTCCTTCCCTCTCTCTTCCTTCTCTCTTACCTTCCTTCCTTCTTCCTCCTTCCCTCTCTTACCTCCCTTCCTCTCTTACCTTCCTTCCCTCTTACCTTCCTTCCCTCTCTTCCTTCCTTCCCTCTCTTACCTTCTTCCTCTTACCTCCCTTCCCTCTCTTACCTCCCTTCCCTCTCTTACCTTCCTTCCCTCTCTCCTCTCCTTCCCTCTCTACCTTCCTTCCTTTCTTACCCTCCCTTCTCTCTACTCCCTCCCTTCCCTTCTACCTTCCTTCCTCTTCTTCTTTCCTTCCTCTCTTACTCCTTCTTCCTCTCCTCCTCACCTTCCTTACCTCCCTCTCTCTTCTATCAAGGAATAATCAAGAACCAACTCACGTTCACAACAAAGAGTTTAAAATGTCTCAGGCACGGAGGGAGGAGGAGGAGGAGGAGGATGAGTGAGGAGGAGTGATATGAGGAGGAGGAGGAGTGAGGGATGATGAGTGAGGAGATGATGAGGAGGAGGTAGGAGAAGGAGAAGAAGAAGAATATTAAAGGAAGAAGGAGAGAAGGAGAAGAAGAAGGAAGAAGAAGAAGAAGAAGAAGAAGAAGAATAGAGTTAGAAGAAGAAGAAGAAGAAGAAGAAGAAGAATAAAGAAGAAGAAGAAGAAGAAGAAGAAGAAGAAGAAGAAGAAGAAGAAGAAGAAGAAGAAGAAGAAGAAGAAGAAGAAGAAGAAGAAGAAGAAGAATAGTTAGTGAAGAAGAATATGAAGAAGAAGAAGAAGAAGCTAGCACAAAGAAGAAGAAGAAGAAGAAGAAGAAGAAGAAGAAGAAGAAGAAGAAGAAGAAGAAGAATGTTTGTAAGAAGAAGAAGAAGAAGAAGAAGAAGAAGAAGAAGAAGAAGAAGAAGAAGAAGAAGAAGAAGAAGAAGAAGAAGAAGAGAAGAAGAAGAAGAAGAAGAAGAAGAAGAAGAAGAAGAAGAAGAAGAAGAAGAAGAAGAAGAAGAAGAGAAGAAGAAGAAGAAGAAGAAGAATAGTAGATGAAGAAGAAGAAGAAGAAGAAGAAGAAGAAGAAGAAGAAGAAGAAGAAGAAGAAGAAGAAGAAGAAGAAGAAGAAGAAGAAGAAGAAGAAGAAGAAGAAGAAGAAGAAGAAGAAGAAGAAGAAGAAGAAGAAGAAGAAGAAGAAGAAGAAGAAGAAGAAGAAGAAGAAGAAGAAGAAGAAGAAGAAGAAGAAGAAGAAGAAGAAGAAGAAGAAGAAGAAGAAGAAGAAGAATTGTTGGTTGTTGTTGTTGTTGGGTTGTTGTTGTGAAGAAGAAGAAGAAGAATAGTTAGTTAGTAGAGTTAGTTAAGAAGAAGAAGAAGAAGAAGAAGAAGAAGAAGAAGAAGAAGAAGAAGAAGAATGTGTTGTTGAAGAAGAAGAAGAAGAAGAAGAAGAAGAAGAATATTAGAAGTTTGAAGAAGAAGAAGAAGAAGAAGAAGAAGAAGAAGAAGAAGAAGAAGAAGAAGAAGAAGTTGTTGTTGAAGAAGAAGAAGAAGAAGAAGAAGAAGAAGAAGAAGAAGAAGAAGAAGAAGAAGAAGAAGAAGAAGAAGAAGAAGAAGAAGAAGAAGAAGAAGAAGAAGAAGAAGAAGAAGAAGAAGAAGAAGAAGAAGAAGAAGAAGAAGAAGAAGAAGAAGAAGAAGAAGAAGAAGAAGAAGAAGAAGAAGAAGAAGAAGAAGAAGAAGAAGAAGAAGAAGAAGAAGAAGAGTTGGTAGATGAAGAAGAAGAAGAAGAAGAAGAAGAAGGTTGAAGAAGAAGAAGAAGAAGAGAAGAAGAAGAAGAAGAAGTCTCAGGTGGTATCATAACACTGAGCCTATAGCATTACGGTCCCCAATTATCAGTTTTACGTGAAGGCCTTCATACTGTGACACCCTGAGCCCTGAGCCCCATAAGGTCCAGGCCCTCTACAGTCCTTAAATGGTCCAGGACCTCTACAGGCCCTTACAAGGTCCAGGCCCTCTACAGCCCTTATGTTGTCCAGGCCCTCTATTAGCCCTTACAAGGTCCAGGCCCTCATATTCTTAAAAGGTCCAGGCCCTCTATTAGCTCTTAGTGCTGTCCAGGCCCCTCAACAGCCCTGTCCTGGCCTTGACACACTCTCTCCTTGACACTCTCCCTGACACATCTCTCCCTTGACACTACTCTCTCCCTGACACACTCTCCCCTGACACGCTCTCTCCTCTGACACTCTCCTGACACACTCTCTCCCCTGACACACTCTCTCCTGACACACTTCTCTCCCCTGACACACTCTCTCCCCTGACACACTCTCCCTGACACACTCTCTCCCTGACACTTCTCTCCCCATGCTCTCCCCTGACACACTCTCTCCCTGACATTGCTCTTCCCTATGACACTCTCTCCCCTGACACGCTCTCTCCTGACACGCTCTCTCCCCTGACACTCTCCCCTGACACACTCTCTCTCCTGACACGCTCTCTCCCCCTTGACACTCTCCCTGACACGCTCTCCCCTGACATACTCTCCCTGACACACTCTCCCCTGACATTCCACTTCTCCCCTGACATCGCTCTCTCCCCTGACACACTCCCTCTCTCCCCTGACACGCTTCTCTCCCCAGACACACCCTCTCCCCGATTACCACACTCTCCCTGACACACTCTCCCTGACACACTCCCTCTCCCTGACACACTCTCTCCTGACACACTCTCCTGACACACTCTCCCTGACACACCTCCCTGACACCCCTCTCCCCTGACACACTCCCTGATTACTCTCCTGACACACACTCCCCTGACACCCTCTTCCCTGTGTGTGTGTGTGTGTGTGTACGTCACCTCACCTCAGTTAGCAGGAGAAATAGTCTCATTTTTTCCTCTAAAAGAACTCTGAGAAGCAGCGGCTGTACACACATTCTTTCATTCTACACCAACCAACATGAAGACTTTGTCCCTCAGTGAAAAATAATAACAATAACAAAAATAAAAATAATAATAATATAATAATAATAATAATAATAATAATCAATAATAATAATAATAATAATAATAATAATAATAATAATAATAATAATAATAATAATAATAATAATAATAATAATAATCAATAATAACCAAAAAAAAATAACCAATAATAACAAGACCCTCTTAACAGCCCCCAGGCAGCACAGAAAGGTACTCACGTATACAGTCCGTTGTGTGGCACCTCCAGGTCTGGAGTGCCAGGAGGGATGTCTGGCACTGGGAGGTCTGTTGCGGTATTCCTCTGCACTTCTCAGTTGTTGTCCGTGACCTGTAGGCACCGCACGTTGCTTCATCACTGCCGGACAGTTAGCACAGGTGAGTGTACCAGGGAACTGGTTAAATACATCAATAATAATAATAATCATAATAATCATAATAATAATAATAATAATAATTATAATAATACATTAATATTATTATTAATAAATTGAATTACAGTCTGGAATGGTAAAGGCTTAACATGGACTGGTTATAATAGACCTTGGCCATAGCACTGACCAGAGCCACAGCGTTGACCAGGTTACAGCCAACGCGTTAAGGTTAACGATCGTAATCACCTTAACTCACCTTGACATACTGAAGCTATCTAGTTAATTACCAAATGGCGTCGTGGATTGGCAGACACAGGGTGCCACACCATGTACACGACAGGTGAACACATGGTGAATGTTATGGTGAGAGAGTGGACACAACAGGAACCAATGTGTGCAAATATGTACACATTACACATGTGTTACTACGGAGAACATTTAACAAACACAGACAAACAGAAACACACACACACACACACACACACATATATTAATAACAACAACTGGTATAACATACACAAACATAAAGATATCATCACACACAGATAAACAATATACGAAAATATCATAATGGGAGCTTTCGTTACAGAGGCCTCAGATTTTTCCTCACCTAGATTACAAAAACAATCAGGTACAAGGCGAGCTGACACTACCTGCCCGCCGCCTTCCTATAACACGTAACACTGGTATGGGATTACCTGGTGTAGTGACGCCGTACATACAGTGTAGGTGATGTGGAGAAGGAGGAACGTACATACATACATACATTCCATACATACATACATACAAGGTGAGGCAAAATGAGGCAAAGTGAGTTGAGGCTAGATGAGACAAGGCGAAATGAAGTGAGGTGTTTTGAGGCAAGAGAGTGAGGCAAGGTGAGGCAAAGTAAGGCTAGGACGAGATGAAAAGTGAGGTGATGTCATAGAACACTCTTGACCTTCATCGTGCGCGCATTTATGCCAACCATTTTATCTTCTATACCATCACCATAAGGACTTGGTCATGTCACCATCATTCATTTTTGGTGTTTGTTGTTGGTTGTTTTTCTTAAAAGACCAGTCAGCCTAAAACACTCGGTCATGTCACCATCATCATCATTTTCACTTAAAAGACCAGTCAGCCTAAAACACTCGGTCATGTCACCATCATCATCATCACTTAAAAGACCAGTCAGCCTTAAACACTGTCATGTCACCATCATCATCATCATCATCACTAAAGACCAGTCAGCTTAAATGTTGTTTTTTTTTCACTTAAAAGACCAGTCGCCTAAACACCGTCATGTCACCATCATCATCATCATCATCATATACTGTGACCAGCCAGCTCTAAAGACTTTAAATAATGCTGCTTTAAAACCCCTTAATTAAAGGATCCTTTATTAAAACTACCATATTAAAGACCCCAATTAAAGACCTGAAGACCGTGTCAAAGTCGATGATGTATAAAGATGTAGAGTAAATATGGTAATTAATGAGAAAAGGTGTTAGTGTACACCTGTGTCTTGACTATGGGAGTTTTTGTGTCTAATTATAGCCTGGGACATGCAGGTTCACCTGAGCATTAGACACCCCTAGTTTATTTCACCTGATTATACTAACCTAATGCTAATCTAACTAACCTAACCTGATTATACTAACCTCATGCTAATCAAACTTAACCTAACCTGATTATACTAACTCATCGCTATTCTAACTTAACCTAATCTGATTATACTAACCTAATGCTAATCTAACTTAACCTAATCTGATTATACTAACCTAATGCTTATCTCAATTAATCCAACTTAAACTACCGGTAATCTAACCTAACCTGACCTAACTAACGATAACTTAACCACACCTACCGCTGACCTCACGCTAACATAACCTAACCTACCACTAAAGTTTCCTTAACCTAACCTATCGTAATCAAACCTAACCTAACGTAATCTAACCTATCAGAACTCAAGCAACAGAATCCGGACTCAAGTAACAGAAACTGGGGACTCAGCGACAGAAACCGACTCAAGCGACAGAAACCGGACTCAAGCGACAGAAACCGGACCTGCTGACAGAAACTGACCCAAGCGACAGAAGCTGGATCGGGGGGTGCTGACAGAAGCTGACTCAAGCGACAGAAGCTGACCTGAAGGACAGAACTGGACTCAAGCGACAGAAGCTGGACTCAAGCGACAGAAACTGACTCAACTATCTCGTCTAGGTAATTACAGACTTTTGATGATCGAGCAAAATTACTTTTGTTTTTTCTCGAATTTGAGTGTTTACGTCTGTCTCTCACACACACACGCACGCACACACACACACACACACACACACGCACGCACACACACGCACACACACACACAGGATGACGTGCGAGACTAAGTTAGTTTTGATGATGATGATGATGATGATGATGATGATGATGATGATATTGATAATGATTATGACAATAATGATAACGCTGGTGATAATGATAATAATGACAGTTAATGATCTTTCTCTATAAATGCAATGAAATGAGGACAACTTTCAGGAAAAAACTCACACAATTTTATCTGACCAGAGCTCCATTTTTCCACGGGTCCGTCGAGAGGATTTTGTCCCCAGTTGAGGTGACGCCCAGTGACGGTACACAGACCAAGTATTTAGAATCCAGCCCACACAACAGGTGAGGACAAGAGGTAGCAGGTGAGGACAACAGATGACACTCCACACAACAGGTAACAGGCGGAGGAGGAGGGGGTGAGGTGAAGGAAAGGCTGGGGAACGGAGGAGGAGGGGCAGGAAAGAAGAGGATGGGGAGAGGAATGAAATTATAACACACACACACACACACACACACACACACACACACACAAACACACAACCAAGTAAATCGATATCTTCCCTTTGTTTCATTTCTGCAAATTAAAAAGTTCCACAACATTTTATACATGTAATTACAATTTTTCCATCTGTATCGATTTTTTCAAGATAATTTATCACAAAGCGACTAGTTCATCCCGGTGGAAACGATTGTAAACAGAAGACTTGGGAGACGAGGAGAGGACTCAATTGGGTGAGCTAGATTAAACTGAATAACAAGAGGGAGTGAGTTTTAAGATGCCTGGTGCAAGATGTTGAGAGAGAGAGAGAGAGAGAGAGAGAGAGAGAGACTCACTCACCGTCCAATAGCATATCTCTAGCCCTATCAAGATATTATATATTGCAGTATTAGATTTGCATATATGTCCATCATCCGCGTCCCCTGTCAACACATCTTCTGCTACCACCACTTCCACCACCTCCATCCCCTCTACCAACACCCATACACCACCACCACCTCACACACCATCTCCACACATCACTCCCACACACCACTACCACACACACCTGCTGGCCACCCTCCCACACACACCATCCCCACAGATCACTCCCCACAGATCACCCCACCACCACACACACCTGTTGGCCACCTCCCCACACCATCCCCACAAGATCACCCCACAGATCACTCCCACCACCACACACACCTAGCACACCTCCCACACACCCCCACCACCATTACACCCAGCACACCCTCCCACACACCATCCCCACAGATCACCCCACAGATCACTCCCACCACCATTACACACCTGTGCCACACCTCCCACACACCATCCCCATCACCCCCACACCTCCACCACCACACACACCTAGCAGCACCCTCCCACACACACCCCCCACTACACACACCTGTTGGCCACCCTCCCACACACACCATCCCCACATCACTTCCCACACACACCTCCACCACCACACACACACCTAAGCCACCTCCCACACCCCCCACCACCACATCACACACTCTGGCCACCCTCCCACACACCATCCCCACATATCACTCCCACACACCCACTACCATTACACAATTTGCACACCTCCCACACACCCCCACTCACCATTACACACCTAATCTCTGGCCCTCCCACACACCATCCTCACACATCACTCCCACACACCCCAACCACCACACACACCTGCTGGCCACCCTCCCCACACACCATCCCCACACTCCCACCCCAACTACCACACACACCAGCACACCTGCTCCACACACCTCACACATCACTCCCACACACCCCAACCACCACACACACCTGTTGGCCACCTCACACCATCCCCACAGATCACTCCCCACAGATCACTCCCACTCACCATTACACACCTGTTGGCCACCTCCCACACACCATCCCCACACACACACCTCCCACACACCCAACCACCATTACACACCTCTTAACACCCCACACACCCCCCACACACACACACACCTTTAGCCACCTCCCACACACCCCCACTACCACATATACTCCAGCCACCTGCCTGCACACACCATCCCACACATCACTTCCCACACACCCCCTCACCACCTGTTGGCCACCCTCCCACACATACACAACGATTTACTGCATCTGTATTTTATGCCCGAATCTGCAATTTCAACATTTGGATTAATGTGACGTCGGAACAGCCGCTGGGAACACTTGTCTTGAGGAGAACCATGGAGCCAGATGTTGAGGCCGGCATTTGGAGTCCACTGTACAAGTGTAGTGGAAGATGTGGGTCTTGGAGGTATTTATGGTGGGTCTTGGAGGGTTTATGGTGGTCTTGGAGGGTTTATGGTGGTCTTGGAGGGTTTATAGGGTTCTGGAGGGTTTATGTAGTCTTGATGGTTTATGAGGGGTCTTGAGTGGTTTATGGTGGGTCTTGGAGGGGCTTATGGTGGGTCTTGGAGGTTTATAGTCTTGAGGTTTATGGTGGGTCTGGTGGTTTGTGTCTTGGAGGGTTTATGGTGGTCTTGGAGGTTGGTGATGTGTCTTGGAGGGTTTTATGAGGTCTTGAGGGTTTATGGGTCTTGAGGGTTATGGTGTCTTGAGGGTTTATG